TATTTATTAGTTAATTGTATGCTTATGCTCATCTTAGTTTCACTTTGTTGTTTTTCTGTCCTGTCAATAATTTAGGAATCAGATTTTCGTTTTTAATCATGTTTCTTACCTGCTTAAGTCTTTAAAGAGCTGATACTTTGTATTTGGCATTTTTTCCCCATCAGGGAGGCATGTACACACTTCCAAGCCACTTATCTCCTGGTGCTAGAGATTTGATTCCACGGATGCTTGTGGTAGATCCAATGAAAAGAATGACCATTCCTGAGATCCGTCTGCATCCATGGTTTCAAGCACGTCTTCCAAGATATTTAGCTGTCCCCCCACCAGATACAATGCAACAAGCAAGAAAGGTTGCTGATTTTGTTTTCTCCCGAGTTCAAGTGTTCAGTTTCAGTTATAAATATGCTTATATACTGCTATATTAAACACTGGCAGGCATTGACGTGATGTGACAACTTAAAAGTAACCTTCAGGGTTGAAAAAGTAAAACTAGATTGCACTTTCTTGTAAAATTCTGAACTCCTGTCAGCTTCTGGATGTAGTTTGGTACATTGAATACCGAATACCACTGTTTTTGTTACAGGGATAATCTTTTCAACACCCATACCTTTAAGTTTAATATAGGATGCTTCGTAATCATTGAGTTTTCTTGGTTGTTATTGGACTCTTGGAAATAGATGTACTCCAATAACCTATTCCCCTAATATTCTCAACCCCATAAGTGACACAGTTTAGATTGCATGTTTTCTGGATTATAAAATGTGATTTAGCTTCTGATTTGGTGGTGCCAGAGAAGTTCTTAACTCTACTAATATTAGATAATTTTAATTTCAATACTTGATATTATGCCGTGTCTGATTGAAACGTAATTACAGATTGATGAGGAGATCCTTCAGGAAGTGGTCCGAATGGGATTTGGAAGGAATCATCTGGTTGAATCTCTTCGCAATAGAATTCAGAATGAGGTTGATCCATCTCCAACTCCATTGTCTTGATGGAACTGTCGCCTACTGTTGAGTATCTTCCAGGGAACTGTTGCTTATTACTTGCTATTGGACAACCGTTTCAGAGTCTCAAGTGGCTATCTTGGAGCTGAGTTTCAAGAAACTATGGTGCGTTTTATTTGTAATTTTTCTATTTATTGTTGACATTGCCTATCTGAAGATGCCTCGTGGTTATGGAATCCACTGTTTAGGACATATTTCTGTTACACTAGTTAATTGACATCGTCTTTCTTCCTTCACTTATTGAGTTCGAACTCTAATTCTTTTTTAATCTGTATTTTAGGAATCTGGCTTCAACCGCCTACATCCAAGTGAACCTGCATCTCCAGCTGTTGGACACAGCCTTCCAGGATATGCTGATTATCAAGCAATGGGTTTAAGAGGCCTCGAGAGGAAATGGGCTCTTGGACTTCAGGTTGAGTTTTGAATCTCAAGCAGTTTTCCCGCACTGGTGACTTTATATGAAAACGATTGTAGTCTGGTGGGTAATTATGCTTCAGTCTAGGGGGTGTAAATGAGCCGAGTCGAGCTCGAGTATTGCTGAGCTCGGCTCGACTTGAAAACTCTGAAATGGAGCTCGACTCGAAAACTCGCGATCTTAAATTTTTAAGATCGACTCGAACTCGAAATCCTGAACTGAAGCTCGTGAGCAGCTCGAAAAGGCTCGAAATGAAAAAAAAATCTTAAACTTAACAAGATTGAATCCTCAAACTCGAACTCGAACATGAACCTTAAATACATGAAAGCCTTATTATATATATATATATATATATTAAAAAAATCAACACATAAATATTAATATTATTAATAATTTATTTTTTAAAAAATAAAATCTTAATATATTATATTTTCGAGCTGCTCACGAGCTGTTAGAGTCGAGTATCAAGTAGCTCGTTTTGACCCGTTAAGAATTCGAGTCGAATCCATTCGATCTGAGTATTTATCGAATCTTAACCGAATCGATCTCGAGTAGCTCCCAATCTGTCTCGTCTCATTTACATCTCTACTTCAGTCGATAGGCATTTTGATGTCCATGCTTTTATAAAAAAAAATCGTCTAAAATCACGTGCCCTAATTAAATTTTATTATTAAAAACTCTGTGGGATATCAATTAAGCAAATAGGGATGGATGCATATGAAATTTTAAATTCGAGAGGACAAGAACATATTTTTAGTAAAAATATGTAGAAAAAAATTAAAATTTATTATAATTTTAAATTTTCAGGGCGATTGCTCCACTTAATTCCTCGATCCATTCTCAAAAGCAAAGATTATGTGAGGTAGAAGACAAATTCAATAAAAGTAAGTAATTTTAAATGACAAATAAAAATATTAAAAAATAACGTGAAAATCTGAAAGAAAAAAATTTAGAATTTTCATATCAATGCCGTCATTGAATTTTTAATAATCGATGATTAAAATAGAAAAAAATGATGATATTGGCGATGTTTTTGGCAAAACGTTAATTTAAAGACCAATATAGAAATAATTAATAGTTAGTGACTATTAGTGTATTTTATCCTTTTCTAAGTGGTTGACATTAATATCCTCTTATTAAATAAACACATGGTAAATCCCGCTCTTGGAGGGCAGCAAGTCAATTATGTACTTCTCGACGGCATGTTTGACTCCATCGGTTCTATTTAGTACTTAACTATTTATTTTAGTTTATTTTAGTAATTAAAATTTTAATCTTTTAAATTATACTTAATATTTTTTTTATTTCATTTTAGTACATTGTTGTTAAAACCTTAACTGACGGGCTATAGTTCCGGTAGACAGAGGACCAATTCGAATGGTTGGACCATGAGAGAATAACGAGCCGATCGATATAGCCTAGTTTCAGGTCCATCAGACGATTGATGATGGAGATTGGAGGATGAAGATGTCAAAGAGTTCATCATCGATTCGAGGAGATTAAGGTATTTTCCGGTGAAACGAATGTCGAATTCATGTTTAGGGAGTTAAAAAGGTGCAGGTTGAAAAGTTTGGGTTTCACCGGCTGACGTATGCGACAACCAACTATTGTAGGCCTGCGACGTCAAGCGTGCTTATCCCTTAAGTTTTTAATGACGAGTATTAAAATGAAACAAAAATTAAACGTTAAGTATATTTTTTAAATAAAAGTTTAGATACTAAATTATTAATAGTAAAATTTTATTTGGATTGAAAACATCTTTTATGTTTTAAATCATTTCGTTGACTTTAGTCAAATTCTTAAACCAAAATTAACTTTTGAATCAAATGCAATTTTAGGTAATCTTTAAAGCCTATAACACAATAAATATTAGGGTAAACTACATTAGATACCACTGAACTTTAGACGTTGTATCGTTTATATCATTGAACTTTTTAATTTTGTCAATTATAGTAATGGACTTTGATTTTCGTTTCAATAATATCATTGAACTGTTAAATCGTTAATGAAATGATGACATGACTGACAGCTGATGAATGCCAACGTAGACACCTAATCGAAATAACATCATTTTGATATGGTTGTTAATGATTTATCGACCTAATAGTATAATTGAAACAAAAAAAATCAATATTATAATTGATAAAATTAAAAGTTCAATGGTATAAATGATACAACGACTAAAATTCAGTGATATCTGGTATAGTTTACCTTAGTTCAGTATTATTAATTATTAAGGTAAACTATTTTGTTGGTCCCCGAGATATAATATATTATTGTATTTATTAACTATAAAATAACTATTTGGCTTTAAACATTAACAAATTTGTCCATTTATGTTAAAAATTTAATGCCTGATAACATGGCAATTAATAAAATTAACATAAAAATAAATCTATCCTCAAACTTTTATTATTTACCAAGTTTGTTGGTCTAGTGGGATGAGGCATTAAGTCCCTTAAGCAAGGTCAGGGGTTTGAATCATGACGTTTGCGAATGGAGCAAACTGGGTTGGGAGGGTCTCGCCTCTGCAGTACCTGATTTGAATTAGTTGATCAATAAATCGGATACTAATGATTAATTTTTTATCATTAAATTTTAAAAAAAAATTAATTTATCACTGAATTTTTAATTTATTTCTATTTTGATCATTTGAATGTTAAATCATAAATGAAGAATGACATGGTAATCACAGATATTGATACGAACTGGTTTTTGATGACGTGAAATCTATGTGTCATCGATATTATTTTTATTTTATATTTTTTATTTCGAACACAAAAGTTTTATTGCCGTTTCATTTTTTATAGTCTCATACCATTATATTAATTTAGATTTTCTCAAAATCAACCTAGAACTCGACTCAAACTCTAATATTTTTGAAATCTTAAATCAATTTAGAATAAATTACACGTTTAGTACATAAATATCAGTTTTCATCGTTTGAATTTAGAAGAATAAGTTTTATCATAGAATAATCAAAGAAATATGAAATTAGGGATTTTTTTTTCCAAAATAGTTTTATTTCATATTAAAAAAGACAAATTAATTCATAATTTCATTAAGAAATTGAAAATATAGTGATTAAATTGAAAAATTTTATACTTTAATAATTCAAATAGGAATAAGAAGAAAGTTGAGTGGTAAAACTTATAATTTATCCCTAAAAATGTCATTTTCAATTGGGTAAACAACACTTTTAGTATTTAAACTATCAATTTTGATCCGTTTTAGTATCTAAACTTTTAATTATTTCAAAAGCATACCTAATGTTTAGTTTTTGTTTTATTTTAGTACATCACCATTAAAAACTTAACGAGTTTAGTACTTAAACTGTCCGTTTTGGTCTATTTTAGTACCTAAACTTTCAATTTTTTAAAACTTAATGTTAATTTTTTAACTGAATATTAAAACGAAATAAAAATTAAATTTTAGGTATAATTTTAAAATAATTAAAAGTTTAAATACTAAAATAGATAAAAATTAATAGTTTAAATACTAAACGTGTAACTTACCCTTAAAAATGTCATTTTCGATTCTCTCTTGGCTTTCTCCGGTCAAAGATGAAGATAAACACGAAACCATGGAGAAGAACCAACCAATTTACAAAGATCAAAGCTTTACAAACTGAAAAACAAGAAAAGTACAAAATCTTCCTGGGAAAATGGAAGAGCAAAGGCAAAGATCAAAGCTTTCAGCTCCGACATACCCCACAATAACTCTACCACCACCAAGAGCCGCCGTTGACTATGGTGGCCTGTTTCCGAACGGTTCAGGGCTGAGCCCAGGTCCCATGACCCTGGTTTCATCTTTTTTCTCGGACCCTGACTCTACAAACAGGTCCTTTTGTCAGCTCTTAGCAGGCGCCATGGCTTCACCTGGGGCTAAACTGCCCTACAATTCGAGGGATTGTTCATTTATGGAAGTGGGGTTTGAAAAGAATGGACCTTTGAATTTTCCTGGTTTAAGCCCTTCTGGTTTCTTTTGCCTTTCTCCTCAGGTGAATTTTGTTAGCTTTTGGTGTTTTGATTTGGTTTTAATTATCGGTATTCGATTTATTGATAGACTAATGTGCAGAGTCCGTTCGGGATATCGCACCAGCAAGCCTTGGCACAGGTCACGGCTCAAGCTGCGGTAGCACAATCTCAACCGGAATATCGAACTTTATCAGTACCAGCTCCATGGGAACAATCGAATTCGAACCCTAGGCCCGGTATTGGTACCGAATCGGAGCAGCGTTCGGCCTCGGATACTCGAAGTTCGGTGATTGAATACTCGGGAGCTTCTCAGTTGGATAAAAAAGGTGTTGATAAACCAGCTGAAGATGGATACAATTGGCGTAAGTATGGGCAGAAGCATATTAAAGGCTGCGAGTATCCTCGGAGTTACTACAAGTGTACACATCCGAATTGCCGTGTCCGGAAGATCGTCGAGCGATCCGCCGAGGGCCAAATAACCGAAATCGTTTACAAAAGCGTACACAATCACGAAAAGGCGAATGGTGGAGGTGATGGAAACACTAATTCACAGGCTGCAACTGGAAATTTGAACAACTTAAATGAAGTTGTAAATGCTGATTCCATACCTGGGAATGATCATGAACCTACTCGAGCTGTGGAGTTGTCGGGACTAAGTGATGGTGAGGAACGATGTGATGAAGAGAGTCGAGAAGAACGAGACAATGACGAACCGAATCAGAAAAGAAGGCATGTTTCGAATCTATTCGTAACCGGTCTTGGAAGTTTGTAGTTTTGAATGTTGCGCTTTTTGATTGCAGGAATACTGCAGGAGAAGCTGCAGTGGTGTTGTCACACAAGACGGCAACGGAAGCGAAACTTATCGTGCAAACGAGAAGTGAAGTCGACCTTTTAGCCGACGGCTATCGGTGGCGCAAATACGGTCAGAAAGTTGTCAAAGGGAACCCCCATCCAAGGTACCACAGTTGAATCATTGTTACCTGTGGCATTAGGAGTCAATTGAGTACGTCCGGTCTAGTTAATCTGTACTCTACGTGATCCGCTTCATTGTCGTCCTAGATACATTCGTTTTACTCTCGAGCTGCCGTACTTGCAGTCGATCGTTCACCCTTTTCTTCATGATCATTTCTGATGCATCTATGTTATTTCAACAGGAGCTACTACAAATGCACGAGTGCAGGATGCAACGTTCGGAAGCACGTGGAAAGAGCTTCGTCCGATCCCAAGGCTGTTGTAACAACATACGAGGGGAAACACAATCACGACGTCCCAGCAGCGGCCAAAAATAGCAGCCACAATGCGGTTGGCAACGGTTTGCCTCGGCCGAAATCACAACACGACGGCATCTCTGAGAAGCCAGTAAGAGTGTAATCTCTGCTACTAAAACATATTAACCGGTCGTTCGGCTGTCGATCATAGCCGAACATCCGGTTATGAAATGAACAATATATACTAATTCTTAGGTTTGTTAATGGTAAACATGTATAATAAAGGTTATTAATTTGTGTTGATTGAATATTAGTTTGATTGACATTGTTATTATAATAATACTAAGTGAAATCCTAAAAGTTATTTGTATGTCGAATCCAACCTATATCATCATTTATCGTTGATGTGATAAGTTTTATATATTTAAAGTAATAGTATATCCATCATGTCATCATTTATATATATTGACATATATGATATGTCATATCATCACATTGAATATATGGAACATATATCATCATTTATAAACATTGACATATACATATCATCACTTACATAGGCGTTACATGTGTCACGTCATTACTTATATTACTTATATGAGTAAACCATACCATATGTTATTGAATTTTACTTTCTTTAATATTTCATTCACTGTATTTTTAATTTATTCTTTGAACTTTTGAATTGTTTCTGTGTTGATCATTCTGAATTATTTTTTGGGTAAATTACACGAATCATCATTGTATTTTGCTCTATTTTCTATTTCACTCAAAGTATTTTAAATCCGTTTAATTTTCTCACTGAACTTTATATATGTAGCGTTTTTTATCACCCAATTGTTTCTCCCACCAACAGCATTATGACGTGAACTTTTTTTTATTTTTAAATAACATTTTCCAAGTAAAAAAAAAATTAAAACTAAAAATTCCTTTTTTTTTCATTCTCTTCTTCTCCGCTCAACTCTTCTTCTCTCCCCCTCCTTTATCATCCTCTCCTCCACCCTCTTCCCTTTCTTCTCCTGAAACCCCACCTTCCTGCACAATGCTGATTATGTACCAGAAATGGGATGGAATTCCCTCTATATAATTTTAAATTCTCAAACAATCAAACTCATCAAATATTCTTCTTTGAGTTTGTCTGTTTATGATAGAAGAAGATGAAGTTTAGGAAGGAATTTGTAGCACAGATGATGCAAGAATAGTAGGAAGTTTACATGGTCTACAATAAACTGAAATCGGTATTGAAAGACATCTTGAAATTCAGACAAGAAAACAAGCCACCATCGACAATGACAACATCAACGAGAAAGAGTTCATTGAAGAGAAGAGCACCGGTTTACAGGGCATTTAGTGGGAGGAACTGATATGGTTGATCTTGCTAATAATGGGTCTTCTTCAAACTTCTCTTCCATCAATAGGTGAAAGCACGGTAAGGGCAAAATCTGGGTTTCTGATTTTCTTTAACAATTCCAATATGAAAAAAAATGTGTTTCTTGCAAAATAATATGAAAGTTCCAATTTTGCTTTGTGTTGAAAGAATCCCAAGTTTCCTGATGTAAAAAGAAATCTTGATTTCGCCATGAAATGGTCTGAAAGGAATGAATTTTTTGTTTTAATTTTTTTTTTCTGATTTGAAAAGTGTTATTTAAAATAATAATAAAAATTTTCATTTCATAACATTGAGAAAAATTTCATGTCATAAAGTCGTTAGTGGGAAAACGTTCGAGTAACTAAAAACGCTAAATGTATAAAATTCAGTGAGAAAAATAAACATATTTAAAGTATAATGAATGAAATAAGAAATAGAATAAAGTATATTTATGATTCGTGTAATTTATCCTTATATTTTTTATTATTTTGACATGATATAATATTTTTATTATTATTTAATAAAAAATAAGTTAAAATATAAAATTAAACCTAGATGGTGGAGAAGGGATAATGATTATTTTAAATTTAATAACAATAAAATATTATTTTATTTATTTTAAATTATTTTATATTTAATAAATATAAAAATATCATGTCATAGAATAATAAAATAATTTATAGTAACCAAAATAAGAATAATCTGAAAGTTAATTAATAAATTAAAAAAATTGAAAATACATTAAATGAAATGCGAGAAAAAAGTAAAATTTAAATGTGAATGATATAATTTATCTTAATTTAATATGTGTCACATCGTTATCACATCATAGAACTTAGAGTATAATATATAAATGGTCTCCGATTATAAAAAATTGTTTTATTAAGTTCATTAATTATTAAAAATTATAAAATAATCATCCGATTATTTATTATATTATAAATTTATCCTTTTATATTACAATCACTATCTTTTTAACGAAAAAGATTAACTTAAAACATGTTAAATAATCGAGATATTTAACAAAATATATATTAAAAGAATTATTTTATAATTTTTAATAATAGATAAAATTAATTAAACAAATATCATGTACACTACGTATGGAAAGTACCCAAGTCGACAAACAGAAAACAGAAATTTATGAAATAACAAACAAAAATGTTGCAAGAAGACTCACAAATCTCTCTAATTTTTCCAAATTTTCTTACATTCCCTCCGCAGACCCCGCGAACAAAATCGGTTTTTTTTTTGTGTTTCTATTTCCCCTATTTTCCCCTCTGTTTCTCATTCATCCCGGTAACTCCATTGTTGTCTTCTCCTCTCTCTCTCCCCCCTCCGGTTAAAATGGTTCAACTTTTTTATTCCGATGAGGGAAAGTTTCGCCATTTTTGACCCAGACTTGTTTTTTTTTCTCGATCTGGGTCAATCTCGGTTTCTCCACCTGAACAATGGGTTGCATTTCCTCCAAACACGGTGGTGGAAGTACGGTGGAAGAAGAAGAAGCCTCCCCTTCCCCGGTGGTCGGCAGAAACTGCCGTGGCTTCACGTTTTCTTCGTCTTTGAAACAACCGAAACACCAGTCCGTGAGGGTCGAGGTTGATGATGAGGGATTGGTTGAAGATGGTGGGATTGTTGACCAGAAGTGAAACCGGGAGTTGAAGAAGACCAAGACGGAGGTTACCGTGAGGAAGAGCGCCTCTTTTGGCTTCAAATTGGGCTTCTCTCAGAGGTTTGTCGAGGCCGAACATGTGGCCGCCGGTTGGCCGTCTTGGCTTAGCTCCGCCGCTGGTGAAGCTGTTCATGGTTGGGTTCCTTTGCAGACTGATTACTTTGCGAAACTGGACAAGGTTCATAATATTTCTAATAGGCATAATACAAAAATTAATCCCGAACGTTTTTTAAAATATTCATTTTGGCCCATATTTTTTTTAGTATTTTGACTAAGATTCATTTTGAAACAAAAAGCTTCATCTATAGATAAAAATCCTTTGTTAACACCTGATTACCACTTCAAGATAGGGATCTTTTTACCCAAAAATAAAACTCTGAGGACCAAAATGCTGCGGAAAAAAATAAGGGTAAAAGTGAATGTTCTATCAACTAAAATATGAATATGAGCCAAAATGATTATTTTGATAAATATTAAGGGCTAATTTTGATATTATGCCTTTCGAATATTCCATACTTGTATCTGTTAATTGTCCATTTGCTTACCTTTCCATTTTGCAGATCGGACAGGGGACATACAGTAGCGTGTTCCGAGCACGGGAGGTCGAAACCGGGAGGATGGTCGCGTTGAAGAAGGTGCGGTTAGACAATTTTCAACCTGAAAGCATTCGGTTTATGGCTCGTGAAATAACGATCCTACGCAGGCTGAACCATCCGAATATCATGAAACTGGAAGGTGTGATCACATCGAGATTTTCGAGCACTATATACCTCGTATTCGAGTACATGGAACATGATCTCTCTGGTCTGTCATCTTGTCCCGATATCAAGTTAAGTGATGCTCAGGTTCGTTTCTGCAACTCATCCGATTCGACATGAGTTCGTGGCGATCCGATGATATCTTTAATGTTTAAGAAGTTGAGTTCAGATTTACCTTGTGTAGGTGAAGTGCTATATGAAGCAACTATTGATGGGGCTTGAGCATTGCCATTTGCGTAATGTAATGCATAGAGACATTAAAGCATCCAACATCCTGGTGAACAACCAAGGAGTTTTGAAGCTGGGGGATTTCGGATTGGCGAACATCTTAACCTCGAAGAACAAACATCGGTTAACGAGCCGAGTCGTCACTCTCTGGTATCGCCCTCCCGAGCTTTTGATGGGATCCACGAGTTACGATGTCACGGTGGATCTATGGAGTGTTGGCTGTGTTTTTGCTGAAGTTCTTATGGGCAAACCTATTCTCAAAGGCAGAACCGAGGTGAACTTTAAATGACAATGAAGATACCCGTGTCGAATTTACTCTTAATCCGACGCTCACACGGCTATGTGATTTTTTGGCAGGTTGAACAACTCCATAAATTATTCAAACTCTGTGGGTTGCCACCAGATGAGTATTGGAAGAAACTCAAGCTCCCTCATTCCACAATGTTTAAGCCCCAACATCCTTCCGAGAGTTGTCTCCAACAACGGTGCAAAGAAATCCCGGCAACCGCGTTGAACTTGTTGGAAACCCTTCTTTCCATCGAACCCCACAAGCGTGGGACTGCATCTTCTGCACTTGCATCGGAGGTAAAGAAAGAAAACGCGAATGCCCATGTTCACTTCTTGATTATTTCACGTTCATGATCTGTTTCACAGTCTAAGCTCGGGGTTTACCATCTGTTTTCACTTCTTGATCGTCACAGTATTTCCACACGAAGCCCTACCCCTGCGAACCTTCGAGCTTGCCCAAGTATTTGCCGAATAAAGAGTTCGATGCCAAGCAACGAAGGTGAACTTCTCGGCCGAATTTAGTCAACTGCATTGCCTATGGCTAACAATCATGAATCATTGAACTGTTCATCAACATTTCAGGAAGAAGTTCGGAGCTAAAATTCGAGATCCAGTAGGAGTAATAAGAAAAGCAAGACGACCTCGAAAATCATTGCAAGAAGCTAACAATTTCCATAAATCAGTGGCGAAAGAGGTACCTGCAAATGCCAAAAGGGCAATCGATTCACTCAGGCATTAACACAAACACCTAACGATCATGAATTTTTAATACTCTGTAATTGCAGGAACAACAGGACAATGGAGTTACCGCAAATTATCCGAAATCCAAACCAGTCGATACAAGATCGGAGACGTCGCAAGTGACAACGGTGTCCCGAGGCGATATTTTCACCGCACCGCCGCCGTTGACCGGATCGAACAGCTTCGCATGGGCGAAGAAGCAAAAAGAAGCGAAATCTACGCTTTCTTATAATCAACCAAGTTCGATCAGTGAAATAAGTGACCCAGATTCATCGATCTTCATCTTAAAAAATGCAGACACCATCTTCGATTCATCGAAACAAGAGAATCAAGATCTTTCTGAAGGTGTAATTGATCGGCAAGCGGATTTGTTTGACGCCATTGATGGGTTTCCTCGTGACGACCTGATGACTAAACACAAAAACAAGGCGAGAATCAGTTTCGATAATCTGTAATTCATCACAAATTTTCACATTGATGAACATTGCTTTTTTTTTAATTAATCTAGGGTTTCAATCATCAGATGAAGATTGGGTATTCGGGTCCTCTGGTGTTTGAATCGGATCAAGTTGATGAACTGCTTCAAATGAACGAAAATCATATCCGGCTAGCACTAGCAACTCGAAGAACAAGGTTTGATAAAGGTAATTCAAGGCATAAATTATTCTAAATTTAGAAAATGGTCATTCGATTATTAAAATTTATAAAATAATCCTTTGACTATAGAATGTTATTTTGCTAAGTCTCTCAACTATTAAAATTTTCAAAATGGTCATCTAACTATTTATTATGTTCTAAACTCATCATTTTTCATAAAAAAAAATTAGTAGTTGTCTAAGCTCGATGTTAACATGATGGTTGAGATACGATAGTCAATTAAGAAGCTGAGATAATATTTTATCATATCACAGTCAGCGTTCAGCAGGTTAACATTCAACTCAGAACACCGTCAATTTTTAAATGAAAAAGGATGAGTTGGAACTTAATGAATAGTGGGGTGATCATTTTGTAACTTTTAACTGTCGAGGGAATCAACAAAGCAAGCAACTCCTTATAGTCAAAAGATCATTTTGTAATATTTAATAATCAAATGACTCAATATAATATTATCTTAATCTCATAGTCAGGAGACTATTTATGTATTTTAAAATCGAACTCAAACTATTTGGGTTTTATTGCAGAGAAATGAGGCAATGGTTTACTTCTTTCGGCAAGGAGGATTTTCAATTTCGAAGCAAAGCTAACATTGGATTACATTATACGCCCGAAATTCATTGTAAAAAGAGAATTGAAAAAAAATGTTAATATTCAATATAGAGCTATAATTTTTATAAATTTCATTTCAGTCCCTAAAATTGATTGATGTTTGGTTTATTTTTTTTAAAAAAAAGTAACAATAAATCAAAAGATGTCGATGAAATTATAGTTTAATGATAAAATTGATATCAATAAATTTTAATGTTCCGCGTTCAAGTTAATATCGAATTGTATATATCGATATATATAATGTGTTCATGTGATAACTTTTGTCATCGAAAATATTCCGTAACCATGTGTATGTGTTACGGTTTATCAATTGGGTAAACTACTCTAAGTTCCTTGAATTTTAAGATTTATATCGATTTTTATCAATAAATTTTAAAAAATATGCCTCGGAGGAATTTTCTGTCTTCGTCGACAATGGTAATGGGCTATAGTAAGGCTGGCGATATGGATCTGGCTGGAGCTTTGTTTGATAAGATGTCGGTTAAGACATCGGTTCCTTCGACTATAATTATCTTTGAATATGCCGAAAAGGGGTTTGCAAGCGAGGCTATTGCATTGTACGATCGGGATGGTGTCGAGTCATGTTTGTTAGTGGCCGGTGTAGAAGTTCATGGTTTGATAGAGAGGCTTAAGTTTCGAGGTAGCATAGGGGTGTGTAATGCATTAGCTAATACGGATGCACAGTGTGGTAGTCTCAACAAAGCATCGAGTGTTTTCAATAGAATGTCGAAACGAGACGTCGTTTCATGGAATGGCATGCTACATGCGTTCTCCTTGCACGGCCATGGCAGGGAAGCCCTTCGTGTTTTCAAAGCAATGGAAAAGGGGAGGATTTCAGCCAGATCCACTTACTTTGTTGCGGTCTCGTGTGCTTGTTCCCATGCAGGCTTTATCGACAATGGCATACGGTGCTTCTACAGAAGGAAAAGGATTACTTGGTCGTTCCTGAAATCGAGCTTATTAGTTGTTCCCATGCCTTTTGAACCAAATGCCAATGTTTGGGGTACCCTTTAGGGACCATGTCTTTTGAACCAAATGCCAACGTTTGGGTACCCTTTAGGGAGCATGTCCGATGCATGGTGCTACCGAACTTGTAGAGATAGTGCGTTATCACCTTACATCGGATCATTTGGATCCCGGGAATTATTCCAACGAGAGATGGGGACGGCATTTCGATGGTAAGGCTTCGGACCTTAAGCGAGTTGTTCATCCCAAAGATGCAACCTTGCTTGTAGAAGGCCATATTTTAAAAACCGGGACAGAGGTTGATTCAATTAGGCTTCCTATTATCGGTATTGACCGCACTTCTTACGTTAACATGCCATAACAGAAATTTGTTGAGCAATCTGACAAATATGTGCAAATTTAATCATGTATTTGAAGAATCCTTGAAAGTAAGCCTATACACGTTGAAGTCGAACAACGATTCTTAAAAGAAAATAAAGAGCTAGAGATAACATGAATATATATATCGAAACATAATAAATACACAATTTAAGAAACTATGGTGAACCCTAATTCAACCTAATCAATTAACATCTCTCCACTGGTTGGTTGTATTGTGCCTTTAGAGCTTTGCATGTTCAAGCCTTCTCCATGCTTCTTCAGTTCCTGGGACCTGACAAACTCTTCAATTCTTGACTTCAGTTCGGTGTTCGGAATCAACATTTCAGCGGTAAGATGAGATCGGTTGAATGGATCGGTCTGCAAATCATATCGAATTAGCATGACATTCTATCAAACGTTATCATTATAAGAACAGAATGTGTGAGGCGAACTTACGCTATCGCTTAGAAGATGTCTCTGGATAACAGGTCTGTCTATTGTGATTCTCGAAGATGGTAAGATCACCGGATCCTTCATCAACGTATACTGCAGGAAAGAAAAGTGTGTTCATGGCCAGTGAATTTCGGTTTTGATGAACTCTGAAAGTAAACAAATGTAGCTGGAATGAAAATAGACATACTTGAATTGGATCAAGGAATTCATCGGGTATATCTCCGAGTGCAGCTTCGGTGTCCATGGCCTCTGAAGCTGCAGCCTTGACCTTTGTACCAAGTTCAAAAAATCCTTGTATAATCCTTCCATCCTCGCCGATTCTTCGAAGAACATCTGCTGCTGCACTAAACAGCTGGAGCAAACCCGATTTATCAGATTGTTAGGACTCGATGAGCGCACAGATACGACAATCAGTCAATTACTTAATTTAGCGAATGGATGAACTGGGGCAACAAATACTGTTCGTTGTATGATCGGCCATCACTGGAGATGGCGGCCGGAAATATGTTTTTGGCATCACCTCTCGCCAGATGTACATATATGCGGACAATCTTCAAGTACAAGCAATTCGCGATACATAAAATATCAGTCAAATTCGAAGTCACTTTCTTATCAAATTATTAACTTCTTACTTCCTCGCTGTATTAGTATATACTGAAATGAAAGTTCCACATTTTGCTAACCTGCTTGAGTAACTCTTTCGGTTGGAATTCATACTTTTCAGGGTCTTTCAGCGTAAGAGATTTTCTTTGAGGGCCGACTAATTGCAATAAAAAGTAGTTGAGCATATTCGCCACTCTTTCGACCTAGAAAAAAGGAACAAGGAACAAAATGGACAAACCGAAGCTTAGAAGAATCGAGACGAGACGGTATAACATTATCAAAAGGGGAAACTAGGCGGCATAAATTTGACAGATGACAAGGTATGGATGAAATTATGTTACCATCTCAGGGAGTAGAAAAGGAGCTGTAATCTGCTCGGACGTAAATGCCAGCATCCTAACATCCTCATTTGCCAACTTCATATCAATTCGTATAATCTGAAAATAATCCGTAAGAAATGTTAAATCAAGTCTAAATTCAAAAACACACATCATGCGTATACATGCAAAGGGAGGGAAGGGAAACCGACATTCTCCTGGGAGTGGAACAGTCGAGTTCTCTCTTGCCTCTCCTGAGTGGGCCTGCGTTCCCATTCTGCCGTATTGACATCTCGGCCTCGAGCTCTTTGAGTTCAAGGATTTTGTTAAGACTTTCATCGAGAAGGTAGATGCTATCGTTGATCAGGAAATTCAAGAAATTCAGATAAACACCCTTTTCTTCTTCCTTCGCAATCTGATAGAGCATACTAAATTTCAATAAAATTTTAAAAGGCATTGATAGTTAAAGCAAAAACGAATCGTAGAAAATTCCACGTGTATGTGCCTGTGAAGAAGACCCTACCTGTTTCCAAGCATTACGGTGACTAGGAACTTGCCAAAGATATTCAAGAAGTTCGGCAATGTTATGTCGGATGTTGAACTTATCATAGAACTGCACACAGAGAAGCAACGAGTGATGGTCAACAATGAAAACTCGAAGAAATTATAACATGAAAAAGAAGTAACAATAGGTAGCAAATTACCTGTGTATGAGAACCTGTGAACTCAATATCAACATATAGCTTCAACAGATTTCGCACGAGATATTCCAAAGATAGTTGATGCCCTTCAAATAGTGTCAATGTGGCAGATGAACCACTGGAAAGAAAACAATAAACAAAGTGTGAACTTACATTCAAGAAACATGAGGCAACGGTATATATTTTTCAAATGCGATTGACTAACCTTCTACGTGGCATCCAACAGTTCAAAACTTCAACCATTTTTGCTCTGAGATACGGGTTCTTGATAAATTGTGGGCTTGCCATAAACATGATAATAAAATTCATAAAATCATCCTGACAAGCAAAAAGCAAAATAATAAATAAATAAATAAAATCGTAATGATACAATTGAAATTGTGGTATGACAAAGCACAAAGATATCTAAATCCAAACCCTACCAGTATAACCCCATCAAGAGCTTTGGAATCCGGGAGGCAAATATTAATAGTTCCATAGCATCTTCCACAAAGTGCTCTGGCATCGAAGCAAATTCCATTGGACATGTAGACGGCAGCGGCATTTTGAATTCACCAACCAAGCCAACTAACCAAACCACCATTAGTCGATAGAATGAAAGTGCGCGCTGAATAAGCACCCCGTCCTTGTGAAAAGAAGAAAGCAACAATTCAAAATTCTACCAAGTTCATATTTCCTTTCCACAAATATATTAAAAGCAAAGAAAAGATGATCATGTGCAAATATATCATATAACAGAATCTCCTATTCGACACAAATGGAATGCTAAATAAGGAATAGGAGGGAAAACAACAAAGAGATTGCCCCAGAATCTACAAGATAGCCTACAAGCTTCTAATTAACAACAAAGGCACCTATTCACTTCAAAGTTTGGTAGACAAGCAAACCGACATGCATGTGTCCAGATACCTGTTTCTTTGCAGGATACTTGCAGAGTTAGATCCTCATACCATACCCAAATATGCATAGGACACGTGTATCTTCAAGAAAACTAAATAATGAGAGCAACAGATGCAGACACACTGTGGAGGAGATAAGACGTACCCTCAAAATTTGTGCTTCATAACAGAACTTTTCTTGTGAATACAATTCGATTTCCTTCTCAAGCCTCGATATATCGAGCTCCAGTTGTGGAGAGGGTGTCTGTTCTTGCATAGCTTTTAAGGTGGACAGTGTATCTTCACTTCTCGAAATGTCCTGGGTGACAGAGTATCAAATAACTTGACTCATCAGTAGAAGAAACAAGAACAAAAAAGAGCTCGGGAAGAAGTGATGCATTACCTGGATAAGATGCTTAAAGTCTGAAAATGCCTTTAGAAGGCCCAAGTTAAGTACCCTAGCTGTCATAAAGAAGCATTCACAAATAAATGTATATTTAGCTTTTACAATGCTACTTTGGGTAGGCTTCAAATTGAGGGTACTTCCCGAACTGGATGCTTCCTGCATTTGCTTCAAACGATTTTCACCATCATAACTTAGTCCACTCCCATCAGATTTTACGGGCTTAACTTTATCAATCCATTCAGCAACTTCTTCCGATGTAGCATGCAGAGCAGTTAGCCCCCTAAAATTGGTTCACTATCAATAATACTTAAATAAAAGGATTCAAAGCATCTAACAGATTGAAGAAAAACAATGCTCCCATTGAAAAATAAGGGAAGAAAAAATCCACCACCTCACCTCAAATCCAAATGATTACTGTTGAAGACATAGGTTGGATCGATTTTATCAATTTTTGATAAATTTGCATCCAAAAATGGTTCCGCAAGCCGGAGCATAACGGCGCTGAGATTGACAAACATGCCGGAACTAGCACAAGATATAGGATCCACCTATCAAACAGGTCCACATAAACAAAGTGTCAAAGAGGCCAGAAAGTAGCTACATAACCAGACTTACATTTAAGAAACAAATCAGCCTTTCAAGTAAAACCATTCTTAGGTAGAATAAACCAAAGAACAAGTTCTTGACGCAATATTTAAGCTCTTGATGCAATCTAACTTTAACTTGAAAAGAAAATTAGGAGGGAAACCTGTAAATGGGCCCTTGATGCGTTTTTATTGATGACTTCTGCAAGATACTCAAGGACACTGTCACGGATCTCAGGGTTTCTAAGGAGACAGAGAAGAACATCGGCTAGATCATTGTGTAAAGTATTCATGAGAGTCTTGATTGTGGTGAATGAAGATAACAAATCGGAAGCTCGTCTAGTGGATGCATCTGAGAAGCACTGCTGGCTGTAATTTCAAGAGAGAAAATCAAGTCATGAATGACAACAATTGCCTAAAAAACTATTACACGTGAAAAAAAAACTATACCATGAGACAAACACAAAGGCATGAATCTTTGATAACAATTTAAAATTTCTGTAATTATACTAATATAAAGAAGATTCAGTAATTAACTATTGCAATATTTGAGGTATAGAAAATTTAAAAATCAAGTAGCTTCCAAATAAATAAAGATCAGAATCAAACATCATCGTATGGAGCTCATAATCAAGTCTCAGTCAGATGTAAAAGAAAAGAGTTTCTTGCTAGTAGAAACCGAAAAAAAATCAGATTTACACAAATACTAACCACAAGCCGAAAAATTGGATTACAAGGACATATAAATAACTCAACTAGGTACAAATCATTGAACAAAAACTATGAAACTCAACAAATGTAAAGTATCAATACAAATCCAGGAAGGCCTTTAATGAGAAAAGGGTTACTCAATCTTCCCATTAGAGGTCACTCAGACAACTTGAGAGGAGTGATCAAGAAAAAAACAACAACAGAAAACAAGCAACATAATTTAGAGTCGGCCCCGAACAAAGACTCCAAGAGTTGGCACCATCAAAACAACAAAAGCTGCAATTGACTGCCATTGCTAGCCCACTATACCACCAGCAAATCTATTAGTTACCCTAGACTAATACTAAT